TCAATTAATATAGGAGCACTGCAAGTACAATCAATCTTTCTTGATCCTAATAGGTCATTACAATGCTTATTGCATTGAGTGGGAAGGACATTTTCTCTCTTTCCACCAGAATTACTCAACTGTTGTTCCAAAACAGTAACCGTGGGCATCCAGTCAAACCTTAACCTGTCATTTTTCTATTTGATGATGTTCCACCACACTAGCCATTGGAGATGCCGTCTGCCACCAGATTTACTCATTTTTTTGTACAACAACCCCCAGAATCCCCCCAGGCAGTATGACTATGATGTGAACCCATCCTGTTGTGTATGGATGCAATTTTGGGAATTGTAGTCTAAAAAAAGGAACTTTTCTCAGCTCTGTTGTGAATTGGGTCTGGGGAAAACATGGTGCTTTCTTACCTATGCATGTTATTTATCTCCATGTATCTACACTGTTAGAGAGCATTGTGGTTTGAGTGTTGGACGGCAAATCTGGAGACCAAGCTTTGATTCCTACCTTGGTCATGAAACCCATTGGGTGACCTTGGGCAAGTCACATGCTCTCAGCCTCAGGGGAAGATAATGGCAAACCTCTGAACAAATCGTGCCGAGAAAACCCCATGATAGATTCATCTTAGGGTTCCCATATGTCGGACACCACTTGGAGGCACACAACAAACAACAACAAGCTGTGTTGTTTTACTGGTACTGTTCTTAACTGTCTTTTACCCTTTTAAAGCATGCATTTTTGATATTGTTAATAGTTTAATTCTGTTTTAATTTTGACTTTCTGTGTGCTTTTAGCTACTGTATATTGTAATCAGTTTAATTGGGAAACTGTGTTTGGGGAAAACACAGGGTATAAATAAAGAGGATGATGAGGATCTTGGAGAACTGGCAGTGGTCTGTGTTTGAGGAATTGCCCAAAGATAGGCTGAAAGAAAAATTAAAAAGAACAAAGTGACAGATCAATTATATGTGTGCTATAACCATGCTGCAACGAGAGTGTCTTGTATATATCATTTTTTTATCACCCTGCAATATATTATAAGATGCATTTATAACAAGATGTGTTGTATATATAATTGATCTGTCACCTGATGATTGATTACTTTTTTGTTGTTTGGAAATATATTCAGGGGTAGCTGCGTTGGCTATGAAGCAAAACACAACCAAATCAAAAATTCACAAAAGAGTGATACTTTTATTGGCCAACTGTAAAGCCTTTACAGACTGCCAGAAATAATGCAGCTTGAGTCCACTTTAACTGCCCTGGCTCATGCTTGGGAATCATGGGAACTGTAGTTTATTGTGGCACCAGAGCTCTCTGACAGAGAAGGCTCAATGTCTCAGAAAAAAACTATAATTCCCATGATTCCCAGCACTGAGCCAGGGCAGTTAAAGTGGACTCAAGCTGCATTATTTCTGGCAGTCTGTAAATAATAATAATAATAATAATAATAATAATAATAATAATAATAATAATAATAAGTATTTATATACCACCCTGTGGCAAGCCAATCCAGGCGGTGTACAACAGTAAAATAGTTACAACTTCAACAATATAATTCTCTCCTCCCCCCCCTTAAAAAAAACATTAAATCAGATCACAATTAAAAACAATCCACAATTAATACAACAGTTTAAAATTAGTTACAATTAAAATACAAACCAACAACCCCTGCAACTTCAGTTCTCATAGGGAATACAAATATTCCTAAAAAAGCCTTGTAATGAACAAAATTGTAACTCAAACGGTGAGTTGCCTTGGGTTCCAGATTGGAAGAAAGGCAAGATATCGGTGAAGTCCTGGAATAAATAAATTATTAAAAACTAGGACGATCATGTAAAGTGGTACATATGCTCTGAAAATATCCAAAGACTTCTCAATTACCCTCCATGTTTAGGGGCTTTTGTCCTCTCCCACAAAGATACCAAATCCCACAAGAAGGATTGAAATCACCGAGCGCAAGAGTTAAAGAACAAGAGAGAGCCTCCATCTGGCATCAGGAATTCATTCATTCATTCTCTTGCAGGTTGGCAGGTGGAGCGGAAAATCTGCCGATATCATATTCAGAGCCTCTAATATGTGCTGAAGGTGTCCAGTGGATATTAATATAGAGTTACATCTTCTCTTCTCTGGCAACTGCTTTTTATTATTCCAGACATTTTGCTGATGCTGGACTATTTGTTTTTGGTTTCCTTTTCTTTCTGCAATGGAGGCTCCCTGGGTGGGTTACTATAGGAGTTTCTGCTAATACTTTTTGACACACTTCATTTGGAAGAGAAGAAAAGCTGAAAGAGGCAGAAATGGCAAATGCTAGGGCAACCTTCAGATTATTCAGATTATTTCCATGGGTGGAAGATTGGCTATGCCACATGCTCCAATGGTCCATGTTTACACCAATTCTATGTCATCTGTCTCCAGGGAAAATATTTCCTCTATTTTTTAACCTATATGTTAGGGGTAGTCCTTCTGGAGACATGGGATCCCTAGGCCATTCTTTGGTGGTCCTTGAAGCCCACCCATCCCCTAAAGCCTCCTAAACCTAGATTATTTTTTTTTTAATCAGCATGATTTTCTAGCAATTTTTGCCCCTAACTTAAACCATGCTGGAGGTCCCCCAAATATGTGAAAAGACACTAAAACACTCACCCAGGGTGACCAGATGTCCTCCCTTTCCTGGACAGGTTGTACATTTCAATCTTCTGTCCAGGAGGGATTCCAAAATGTCTTCCTTTTTGAGCATTTTCGACACCCAGTGTGGACCATTTTTTAACACACACACACACACACACATGCAACAAAAGAGACTGCCCATTTCTTTGGGCCTCCTCTGGAATATCTGTATTACATACGGTTGAGTACAAAACAAAATACGGCACATGTACTATAGTTGTAAATAAACCATATGAAATTAATTTATATTTATATTAGTGTCCTTAGCTTTTATTTTGTATGCCCTAGATTTTGAATGCCCCACATTTTTGTGGTGCCTTGTCTTCCTTTGTGGTTATGACATTTGGATCCACCTCCATAAGCACCCCAGAGCCCATCCTAACCCCCAAATGGCTCCTTTGCAAGCCCTCCCCAAAATAACCTCCATCCTTACACATTTGCCACTCTTACTTTTTACTTCATTGGCTTTAGAGCCAAATATTCTCCATCCCTCTTCACTCTCTTTCTCTCTGATGTATGCAATCATGGTTTGGCATTTTCCAACTCTTTTTATTCCCCCCCCCCCTTTTAAAGAATTCAAGGCAGATGAATGCCCCTGAATCCCGGGCAGATTTGAAATTCCAATGCATATCTTGCACTTTTGTATTGGTAATTAAAACCTGCTTCTCCAGCTGTTTGCCATCCACTGGAGAGAGATTGTAATGAGTGTAAATCTTTAAGAACTCAGTGGGGGGTGGTCTCCTAAACACACACACACACACAGAGTGGGAAAGATTTTTTTTAAAGGTGTATAAAACGGTTGTAAAGATCCCAAGCATGAGAACTAAAAATAGCTCTAAAAATAGGTGTGTAATTGAACATATAGCGGTTGGTAGATCCATTCTGGAAACATTTGAAGAGCACTGGATCTGTGCCTTCTCTCCACCTGCCCTTGGCTACCTCCTGTCCAAGATGGCTCACATGTTCATTATTTGTTGAGAAGTACCCAAAAAAAACCCCCCTAAGCAATGGGCTCACTCTTAATAACAGCATTATCTTATTACACAGATGATGGTGGTCCTGACAGATCTTTGGCTCCTGAAAACATCATACAGTGCAATCTCTGTTCTTTTCATATATTGTAGGGAAAGAACACTTGCACATTTTCTTTCAGTGCAGGATCCAAAGTGGCTTACACAATACCCCCATTCTTTATCGATGGGTTCAACCATCCACATTTTGAAAATATTCCATATATATATATATATATATATATATATATATATATATATATATATATATATATATATATATATATACACATTCCAAAGGGCAAACCTTGATTTTGCCATTATATATAAGGAACACCATTTTACTACACCATTATATTTCCTGGGATTTATGTATCCCCGGATTTTGTATCCATGGGGGATCCTGGAACCAAACTCCAGCCAATACCAAGTGCCCACTGTAAATGAAAATAGAATACAGCTATAACAAATAAGGTTGCTAGATCTCTCTGGTCCTGGTCCTGAGTCTTCAGTCTTTATAGGTCATTCCTAAGTGGTAGACAAGGGTGCAAATTCTCCAGTTGTAGTGGGATCCTTCCAGGAAACAGGAAAGGAGTGCATGGAAATCTTCAGCTCAGCTGCAAGACCAGCAGTTGGTTGCAACCTGCAAGCCTTAATTGATTTGTTCCTACAGCTTGCAAAGACTGGAAGCAAACAGGCTACCTAGGGTTCTCACTTCAGGATCATTCCAGACATTGGTTCGTTGTTGTTGTTAGCTGCCCTCGCATCGGTTCTGATTCATGGCAACCCTGTGGATGAGACATCTCCAAGAATCCCTATCTTCCACTGCCTTGCCCAAATCTTGCAAGCCCTTCCCCATAACCCCCATTTAAGTACCAACTACAGTTGCTCAATGCTTGTCATCCAAAAATACTGGGTGGGAGGGGAATTCTGCCTTAAATTCCAAATTCCTGTTTGGAATTTAAGACAGAAATCTTAGCTAATGGTCATGTTCCCAGAGCTAGATGAAATGAGATTATTCCCTCTCTGGTGTCCTCACCAAACATGCTTCTGAGAGTACTGGGACTGAAAGAAAGCCTTTTCCTGACATCTCAACACTTGGGCAGCTTGTTGTCATCACCATTGTCATCATTACTTCCTCTGTTGTTGTTGTTGTTGTTGTTGTTGTTGTTGTTGTTGTGTGCCTTCAAGTCATTTCTGACTTATGGTGACCTTAAGGCAAACCTATCATGGGGGTTTGTTGTCAAGATTTGCTCAGAGGAGGTTTGCCATTGCCTTTCTCTGAGGCTGAGAGAGTTTGACTTGCCCAAGGTCACCCAGTGGGTTTCATGGCTGAGCTGGGAATCAAACCCCGTTGTCCAGAGTCATAGTCCAACACACAAACCACTACGTCACACTGGCTTTTTCACTTCCTTTGCAGTACATTTTGGATTTTAGGTGACCATCATGTACAGCCATGCTCCAAATGCAAGCAGCTGCATTGAGGCATATCTTTCCTCATGCATAACTTGCATGCATAAACATGCAGAGGCACACTTAGAGAGCAGCAGCAACTAACAAAGCATGCTTATTCTAGAGTGTCTATGGATCAACTTAGAATTTGGTTGTTTATATTAATCACAACTCCCATGCTGAATGAGAGTTTTGGGGAGTTGTAGTCCAAAAAGCAACTTTTCCAAGCTCTGGGGAAAACTTATCTCAAAGTCAGCAGGTGATTTTAGCATAGTTCTTAAAACCAAAGGTGCAGATAAAAATACAGAAATCCATTCCCATTTCCATTGGCAACTGCTGCTGCTTGGTGCATATTCAGTTCAGAATTGTCCATCCAGGTTTGTTGGATCATCTATACTATAGAATTGTTCCTTTCCTTTTTTAAGAATTATTCCTCTGAATAATTCTAGTTTGTAAAATGGAGCATCTTCCTTAAGCACAGCTTGGAGCTCAGGATTATTGTTATGAAGCATGAAGATAGATAGATAGATGATAGATAGTTAGATAGATAGTCTGAGCCATTTTCCCCAGCTTGTTTAAGAGGGCTCAAAGTGACATGTACACAGTTTTCTTATTTTTTTTAAAAAAAGGCAGCAACAAAAACACATCCATTAAAAGAGGAAACTCTTAAAACTGCCGAACAGCAAATTAAAATAACAGCTGTCAGCAAAATGCGAAAACAATTTTAAAAACACCTAACCAAACAACCCACTGTCTTTTAAAAATGAAGTGTAAATCAATGGGAAATTGTAAAAGCAT